ATTCTTTAATATATAACAGATAAGTTTTTACTTTTCATATAATTAATAGCGCGCATTCAATTTTAATACAAATATATAAACACGCATGTTATCATGCATGCATAATTCGCAAAAAAATAAAAAAAAATAATAAAAGATGTTTAAAAAAATGAATCCCTTTGACAGCAAAATGAAAACATATATCACATTCAACGAAATTTATAAAAATATAAGGTATAATTCGTTAAATATAAACATTTATTAAAAAAAAAAAAAAAAAAACACTTACTGTATATAACCTTATTATAAATATATTCGTTTGCTTCCTTTTAGATTCATAATTTTTTTCTTACAATTTTACGAAAAGTAACGAAAGACAAACTTAATACCGTAAGGTAAAACCTCATTAAATTTTGTCATATCAACATTCTTATGTGTGAAAAAACAAATCATAAGACAACAAGCATAAACAAATAATAAAGCTCTATCTAATTTATTGCAAAAATTATAAATCAAAATGAGCAAAGGAAATAATGTAACCAAATAATAAGACAGGTCCCAATTCATATATGCACAGAAAAAAAGATTTATCGTAGGTGATATAATGATAATAATCTCTTTTAACCATGCTAAAAATGTGTTCCATCGATTATTAATATTAATTTCTTTTTCTTTCCAAAACTCCCTGTCTTTATTTTCTTTTTCTTTCCAAAGGTCCCTGTCTTCTTTCAAAAATTCCTGGAATTTATCATCTTTTTCCCTCCAATACTCTCGGTCTTTATCATCCTTTTCTTTCATATAATCTCTATCTTTGTCTTCTTTCTCAGCTTGATACCTCATAGAAATTTTATGTTTCGTAATTTCTAATCGCATATTATTGCTTATAGTATTTGATGACGAGAATGCTTCTTCACTGCTCGTAATCGAGCCTCTATCATAAGCGGTATGAGCAAACCTATTAGGAATAGGTGCTGTATAGGCTCTTCGTGGTGGCATATTTCTTCTGAATTATGAACAAATTCCGAAGCGTAACAAAGATTCAACTGATAAAGCTTAGATGCAAATTCATGCAATGTTTATCCGAAACAACCAGTAAAATTCGAAAATTGAAGGTTTTGCATTCAGTGTAACAATGCTTGATAGAAGATAGTTCTCTATGTTACACTCATGCGAGATGCTGTATAAAGATTTAATGTATAAAGACTAGTAATAAATGCTGTAAATGCTGTCCTGTTCAAACTAGTTGGTTAGTGTTTAAAATCCCACTTGAACTTTGTTCCAAAGTATACATGTATTATTAGCAAGTCAAGTAGTTTTGCTTGCTTGAGCATGTAAGTTTAAGTAGTTGTTATTTAATATTATCAATATTAGTAGAATACATGAAATTCAAATTCATATCACTGTTGACAAGTAACTTTGATACACTTAATTATTGTGATCTTGTTATTTGTCCTATTTAAAAGATAAACATATAATGAGAAATATTTAAAAATATCGTATTAAACAAATTTAAAAATAATATTTGATTAGTTATAGTTACTATCGACCAGAAGAGATAATATAGTATAATTGAAAGTTTCTAGACAGTGTTGTATATTTTGATGTTTATGCCTTTTTTAACATGTTTATTCCGTGTTCTGTTCATATCATACAGTTTCACTTTAGCATAGTTTTTAAAAAGTATTAAAACTTTTGTAACATTACCATTTAATATTGCTTGGAATGACGCGTCAAACAAATGTGACGAACAAAAGACCTTCCTATTTGTATGCACCTTGCATGTAACTTTGATTCTAATTCAAAAAGGCACCTGCGTAATTTCCTATTTATATTTTATAAACCTATGTTTAAACCTTCATTGAATTTAGGGCCGATGATTTTCTGTGATTCACAGAAAACAGCCGAATTTCTTTTAATCGCGGCCAACCAAAGAAATCACCCTTAGTCACCGCAGAATATCACAGAATTTATAATATATCTCAGGATCTGACCATAAATTCAAGCCGGCGTTGGGAAATACCGTAAAGGTAGACAATAAATAAACGTAAATTACGAGTGTGTTCACCGGAATTTAGTTGGTTTGGAAAATTTTATAATCGCATTAGATCATAGAAATTACAATATGATACCACAGAATTGTAAAGAAATTATAAATGTTGCCACAAAATTAGGCAAAAATTTTATCACATTAAATCACAGAATTTGTCTTAACCACGCGCAGAATTTATTCTGAACCACCGCAGAAAATCATCGGCCCTGATTGAATGTTTGTTACGCGTAACAGTCGACCACAAACCGACGATAAACACAAACTCTGAATTTTAAACTTGACTTGTGAAAGAAAATACTTTTTTCTCGAAAGATATCGTACTTTAAAATGGATTTATTAAACACTTATTACAATATTATTAGCCATTTTAGTATCTTGATATGATATTACGTTACATATACAATTAGTGTTCCTCATTCTTTGATAATTATTGAAATAGATAGTATGAGTAAATAGAACATTGATTGAGATGGGTGAAAGTTTATCTTGGTTTTTTTTTTTTTTTTTGTACTGATTCAAATAAATTTTTTCTAGATTATAATAAAAGAAGATAATTTTTTGCTAAAAAATATAACAAAGTTGACAATTATCTAATTATTTTATAAATCGCAATTTTACATAAATCTGATATGAAATTCGAACAATTTTATAAGATTTTTTGGATTAATTCTGCCTGAATATATTAGTAGATAAGTTTCTGATAAAAAGTACCCATTCATTCGTTGACAAAATCATATTCTGATAAGTTATCATCGAGGCGTCTAAGAATTGATCAATGGTGTAGACTGTTTTATGTGATAAATAGATACTTATTGTAAATTGATATATTGTTAGAATTGATTTTTAAATAATTTCCCTTCCTTCTCTTTTCATCTTAACACGAAACGATTTTTTTCAAGAATAGATAGTAAAATATTTTTTTTATGTAATTATCTATAACAGTTGGAATAATTTTACGATACGGTCTTTTTTTTTTTCTTTGAAAAATAATTATATTAATACCTTCTTACCTATGAACTTTGTCATTTGATTAGTAAAGTTATATCTAATAATAATATGACTAGATCACAGAGTCAACCAAATCATTATCAAAATGAACTATTGTCATCACAATCTTCTTCAAGTTCTCCCAGATCTCTAATAACTCCCGTTTCCCCTTCATTGCAACCTACTATACCCAATTATCCAAGAGATACTAATTATCCTGATAGAATTCAATATCGACATGGTTCTGGTTCTTCTAATTCAATATTTTCGTTTCCTTCCGAAAGTCCAGCAGCAACCCCAACCACAACTACATCAGTTCACTTTCCAAATGGCGCAACTGGTCATTCTGTGTCCGATAAATATAATATTATACCAACATCTGGACCGTTACTATGGGATGAAGATGATAATGTGGATGAGGATGAATTGCATAATACAGACAAAAACAACAATGATCGAAAATGTGTATTATTTTCGAAACGTGGTTGCTTAAATGTAGGTGCATTGATGCTCATTCTTGGGGGTATGTTGGGTCTGATGGTAGTTTATCCTGTATATACCGCTATAGTGAATAGCGAATTATTAGAAAGAACTAGTCAAAATTCAACTCGAATCGCCGGAACTCTGACAGATTTTATTGACATTGATACACCAGAATCAGCACATACTAAAATAGCGAGCGATGGGACTATTTATAAACTTGTGTTTTCAGATGAATTTAACAAGGATGGTAGGACATTTAGACCTGGAGATGATCTATATTGGTACGCATTAGTTATTTGCAAAATAAAAAATTTTAAGCTACGTAATTACAAGTTTAGGCAATTTTTATATGAATTATTATAGCAGATCAGATTATTATGATATGGGGTGTACGTACATACAGAAAAATTATACCACACTAATTAGCTACCTTTAGCAGAAAAGGATACTGTATACCCCGTACCGTATTGATCTGTTCATTAAAACAATCAAATATAATGTGACTTAAAGTTTATTTACCGTTACTTTATTTTTCAAAAAAATTGTTCAGAATAATGTGACTTATAGCTTATTTATCGTTACTTTCTTTTTCAAAAAAAAAAAAAAAAAAATAGGGAAGCTGTTGACCTTCATTATTGGCTTACAAAAGATTTGCAATGGTATTCACCGGATATGGTTACTACC